TTGAAAAATGTATCTAGAATTAATATTACCACCATCAAATCCTGGACCTGGACACAATTTTTTTTAGAAATACGGGAGAAGCGGAAATGACATTTTTACAAATGAAATTAATTTCAACAAATTTATTTGAGATCATGTACAAGATTATTCATTATTAAAGACGCCTTTTATAACCACTATTGCATATTCAAAAAAAGCTTTAAATAAAAGTTTGTGAATATGACTGACTTTTTTTAAATATGCCATAAAAACACGTATTCAGATTTCACGGAATACACCACAAATAAACTTTTTTAAATGGGATACCCTCTATGTTATTAAATTTCTGGGATATTTTTTTTCTAATTTCACAAATGTATATTATTGATAACCCTATCTTATACCGTCTGTTCTCGAGTAATTTAACGTTGATAATGTAAACATGAAAAAGTTAACATTATTAAAGTAAAAGCTATGAAAATCACAACTATTATGTTTGATAATAAAATAATCCAAATAAGTAGTTTACAGTGAGAAAGAAAAAGTGTAAATATTTATAAGATATTCGACATAGATTATCTATGATATTCGACGTTTAATTAATCAGGAAAGAATAAAGATCATTTCGAAATTTGAATAATATATATATCCTGTGAAATATGCACACCACTGATATGGCCATTTGATGACATTTTTACAAAATTCGGTCAATGTAAACATTATACAATAATAATTATAGCATAAAGGGAGGATAATTTATAATGAATAACCCTGTTAGGTACCATAAATTTTCAGTAAAAAAAATTGAATTCGCACTTTTTTACGTAGATTAAAAAAAATGTAATTTGGTGCGTTTTTATGGTGCAGACATTTTGCGACACACTGTATATTCAAATCCAAAATGATGTATTTTCTTTTAACACATACCTAATACAAATTTATTAGCAAAATTTAAATACTTGTTATTTTCGGTATATTTCTCCTTTAGACACAGACATTTTTAGTTTCATTGTCAAAAAATTTAAATAAAATTACCGGACCTTATAATATTCTATTATAATTTTATGATCCCGAGTGGCCATAGCAAAAAGACGAAATTTGAGCATGAAGATTTAGATGTTATTAACGTAAAATTAATGTTTTGAAATTAATTTAAGTTTTAAGAATTTAGAAAATAAAATTAAATAATAAAAAAAAGTAACCACTCGGGGGTTTGAACTCGGAACCCTTCGATTCGTAGACAAGTACTCTAAATTTTCGTTATGAAGGCTTATGAAAAAGTTTTACTTTTTAACGCTGATAATCAGACTGCTTTTAGTTTCATTAAAATCTCAGTTTATTTCTAAATATAGACGAATATCTTGTGGAATGCTATTATTTATTGATTCTTTACAAGAATCACTAATTTTTATTTATATTTAATCTAAATAACTAAAAAAATATATACTGACAATTAATTTGACGAAATTGTCACTTATAAAGTTCTAACATCTGACGTAGAGGGCGTATCTAACCAGTAAATAAAATCGTTAGTTCAATGATTTTACCAATAGATGTCGGGCGCGATTGCCTCCAATAACTTTTACATGGCGATTATCCTACTATATAGTTCTTTATACAATGGTTGAACTAATATTTGTTTAGAAACAACAGGTGGTATTAGGTGCGGTAAACTTTGTTGTTAAAGAACTGAATATTCTCAAGTTTGGGGTAAGAAAATACAATTATTTTGTCACTCATATACTTTCTATCATACAGAGACTCGGGTAAATAATAGAAACTCAATGTATTTTTTTTTCTAATAGTTCATTTAGTTGTTAATTCTATTCTAACCTCAAACTGCATCTGGTGTTTATTTTCCGACTTGGGCGTCTCATAATATTTATTTTTATTTTTTTAGGGGTGATTTGAAAATGATACGCAAATATCAAAGAAAGGTCTGAAGTAAAAAATATCGCGATTATACCCAAGAAAAATTAGAACTGGCAGTGGCGAAGTATGAGCCATGCAATTTGATAGTCATTTCCACAAAATATGATATACCCTACGCTACATTGTACAGAAAAATAAAAGGCATCCATACTAAACCTGCTAGTGGTCAGACGGCCCTTACAAATAATGAGGAGGAAAGTTTGATTAAATGTATTTCCATTGCAGCTGAGCGGGGATTTCTTTGTGATAGTGAAGAAATATGATGGTGGGTGAGGTTTTCCGGGTTTTCCTCACCTGTAAGTCAAATGGCACCATCAATCATCTTTAAGTCGCCCCGGAGCGCCACGGCAAATAATAATAATAATAGCCGTCCCTTTCCCCGGACAAGCTCAGCTTTTGGGGTTAAAATTCACTCGTAAGGGGGTGAATTAGGGAGAGTATTATTAAATTAAAGATTTAGTGCAAAAATATCTCGAAAGAAGTGGTAAAATAATAAACAAGTTCAAAGAAAATAGACCAGGCGAAACTTGGATGGAAAAATTCTTGAAAAGACATAAAAAAAAACTATGTCAGCAAGATTATTTCAATCAATAAAACAAAGCAGGGCTAAAGTAAATCAAGACACTATCAATAAATTTTTCTACAATCTTTCAGCGGTTTTAACAGGTGTAGGGGAAAGTGGGGATCCTTGAGCACTTTTTCAGTTTATTGCCGGTACAGTAAATTCAGCTCAATCTAGCTCTAATTTATTTATATCACCAATTATAGATGACTTATCTTAAGCCTCGGGCATTGTGTTAGAAATCCTATTCTTTAAATTTTTTGAAAAAATGTTACTTTTTTAAGTCCTTGCAATAGTGCCCAAGCATCCCTACCAGAGGGATCTGTGGGCACTGTGGTAGGGAGCCTTGGACATGAAATAACCAACAAATAAATAATTTTACAAACTATTTTTATTGATAATATTTGGTACACATATACATAAAAAAACAACTAACTTTTGTATTTTCGTGAGAGAACGACCTATTTCAAATTTTCAATAACCCATAGTGGTTTATCAAACAGATACTTAAAGCTTCCTCTTCTTGTCGAAATAGTGGGTGTGGGTAACTTTGTGATTATATCATTTCGGGTGACCAATGATACATCCTTTATATCAGGGTAGCAGAATGTGTTTTTTAATTTTGTTAGTCTCATGAAATTTATTGTAAAACAAAGATATCGGATAAATAGATACGCCTTGTATACATTACACTTGTCCGCAACTTTTTTTTGACAGTACGCTCTTCCTATGTTGTCAGATCTCTTTCATCAAATATCAAACATTAAATTTTTATTAAAAAAATTACTATTACCTTTAATACAATCTAATAAAAAAAGGAAATAAAGAATTGAAAGCATCAATATGAGTTTTTTATTAATTGCAATCACTTAAGACTTTTATTTAGCTATTTTTACATGTGTATCATATGTGAATATTAAACATTCTGGTATATATCTCTTAAGTTTGGCAACCTAAGACATTTTGCTGATGTTATCAAAGTGACAGATCAAATTTTATTGTGATTTTTGTGTTTTTTTGTAGTTTTTAAGAATAATTTAAACCTTGAACTTTTTAATAAGGACTTCTACGATGGGGAGGAAATGTATAGCGTGCGGAAATACGCAGAATAAGAATGTTATTCGATCATTTCATAAGTAAGATTATGTTAGCATAGACGTAGGCATATACGGGGAATAAGGCTTAATTTATTTAACAGTGTAAAAGTATTTAGCACTAGCATTGTTTATTTAAATAATAATGTTCTATATTTTCTGATCAGGTTTCCTAGAGAAATTATTCAACGTACAATTTGGCTGCAAAATCTATGCTTGGTGGAGGAAGACATTATGAAAATGAAAGAAGCCTTAATATGTTCTGACCATTTTTGCATGGCAGACATTTATGAAAATTTAAGTGGTAGACACATCTTAAAATATAATGCCATACCTATGAAGTAAGTACAGTGCGCAAATATGGGGTAATTTTGTTGATTTCTCCTTAAATTTGTGTGTTTTTTAATGGACTGTATGAATAGATTTTACTTGTTTTGGGTATTCAAACTTCGACACCACTTTTAATAGAGTTTATTACAATATTATTCGGTATCCAACAAAAGAACAAGTTGCTGATACGAAACACAGGCACAAACAATGCTAGAATACGTCTAGTATGAGGCTACTTGCTTTTCTAACTGTTTTACTTAATAACACCCCGAGATAATAAGTTTTAATTCACTTTTTCCGAGAAATAAGTGCCGGCCGGCCAACGCCCACAAAGTGCGAGAAAACTCACACCACAAGTACATCCTTCTCGTCTTGAGTCAAGATTGCTTCTGTTTTAAACTAATCAATCTCCGAGATTGCACAGTTTATGGGTCCTATGATTGAACGTTTACGTTATCCGTAACGTACATGTTAGGCTCAGTTTTAACAGTAATTAGGCAAGTTCGTATGATGAAAAACGGTTTCCAACACATTACTGTTATTTTCCGCCTGTTATGTTCTAATTTAACAGTTTTCCATCATACAAACTTGCTTCGTTACTGTTAAAATTCGACCTAACATATACGTTATGGATAACATAAACGTTCAATCATAGGACCCTATGAGAAGAGGTAAAAAATAAGAGGGAATTGCCAGGGTTGGTTGGAGTTACGTCATGAACTACCAATAGTACCAATCAAACATAAATGATGTTGGTTGCATAATGTTAGATGCGGTTTAGCAGTTAATTATATAATAAGGGGCGAGAGGAACAAATATATTTAAATTCGGTGTCTAGCGGCGTAGGGGAAAGAGGAGTAAAATTTGATGTATTCTGGCGGAGAATAATGTTAAGTTATTTTCCAACATACAGTATTTATTATGGGTATTTTTATAATATGTAAGCTCTAAAATTATACAGAAATTATCACATTTTACAGAATTTTGGGAGAGGTAGTTGAAGAGGCGAAAAATGAAGAAGAAAAAAAGACTGCATCACCAGTAAGGTAACTTAATCATTTATATTGAGAAAAGCATACAATTCTATATAATTTTTTTTTTAGTTTTTTAAAGAACAATGAAGATCCGTGCACATCTAGTACTCCTACAGGTCCTAGTGTGTCTGGATCACCACTTCCTAAAAGGTAATATAAATTTTTGGATTCTTCTTTATGTAAATAACTTATTTAAGAAAATTATCATTGCTTAACGGCCATATGCACCATTGTCCAGCTAAGTCCTCTGTTATCTAACAGTAGTATAAAAAATAACAGTGTGTTAACAGAATTTGCTATGCATACCATCTATGTACCATCTATTTGTCAGTTTCAGTAAGAAATCAGTCTGTTACGTATATATTACTGTTCATATCCTATAAAACCTTATATAGCCCTTCAAAATAAACAAGTAAAATTAAAATAGTCTGATAAGTAAAATTAACAGGGCAAATTTGGTTTGTTACATTAACAACGCCTTTAACAGATTGTTAGTCGTATTTTGTAATGGTGAATACAAAATTGTCAATTTAACAGTCAGTTATGTAGTTAACTCTCTGATAACTATTAACAGAAGAATGGTGCATATGGCCGTAAGTCAATACTAAATTAAATATAAAATATTTTAGATATTCCAATTATTATACACTTAATTCTTTTTGTAGGAGAAAATTAATTAAGCCCCGTTACTTAGCTGATATTCATTCATCAGACATGTCCAGCCCAACTGCTAAAAAAGCCTTAAAATTTGCAAAATTGATAATAGAAAAACAACGTAGAAAAATATCTACTCTACAAAGGCAGAATCGAAGATTAAGATCTAAAATTACTAATCTAAATTCTCTATTGGCCCATTTGAAAACAAATCAGTACATTTCGCCATCGGCAGAATCTATTATAGAGGTACTAATAAATCAATTAAAAAACAAACGTAGAACCAATAACATCTTGATTGAACCTCCATAGCCAGTTTTACTGGTTTTAAATTTTTTAGGAAATTATTTCGCGATCGTAGGAAAATTATTGTATGTAACTTGTGTAAAAGTGATTTTTCACACAAAAATATCACTTTTCACACTTGTAATATATTATAGTATTCCAATTTCCGATAGTATTATGTATGTTAAATGAATAACCTTTATTTATTTGTACATACCAAGATAGAAAGTATGTTTATTATTAAATACAATGAGTTTTTCAGGCTACTCTACCTGGAAGTGCTGCTGAAGTAATGAAAATGATTTTAAAAGGTTCTTCTCATCAAAAATATTCACCTGTTTTAAGGACATTTGCCTTAACATTAAATTTTTACTCCGCAAAGGCATACAATTTTGTTAGAGATACATTTAATAATTCGCTGCCACATCCAAGGACTCTAACAAAGTGGTACAGTGTAATTGATGGCAAACCAGGATTTACAAAAGAATCACTTCGTGCTATAGAAGCAAAAATTTCAACTTCAACAAAAAAGGTTTGTGTAAACCTAGTTCTTGATGAAATTCACATCATGAAGAAGGTTGAATGGACCGGAAAAGAAGTTATTGGATACATCGATTTGGGAACCAAATTAAGATCGGACTGTATTCCAGAAGCTACACAAGCATTAGTTTTTATGGTAGTAGCTATGAATGATTTGTGGAAAATTCCAGTTGGCTATTTTTTTATAGAAAGTTTAACCGGATCTGAAAAAGCCAATTTAGTTAAAGAATGTTTAAAATTTCTTGGTGGAGTTAACATCAAAGTGACTTCTGTAACGTTTGATGGAGCATCAGCTAATATAACTATGATGAAGTGTCTGGGAGCAAACATAGATACGCCATCTTCATTAACTACTTATTTCATTCATCCAACAACACATGAGCAAGTGTATTTTTTTTTGGATCCATGTCATATGCTCAAATTGGTCAGAAATACATTCGGAACTGCTGGTAATGTCTTAAAAGATGGAAAAAATAGGGAAATAAAGTGGGATTACATAAGGAAACTAATACATCTTCAAGAAAATGAAGGGCTGTTAGCAGGAACAAAACTGAAAGCTCGGCACCTACAGTGGTTTAGAGAAAAAATGCGTGTTAGAATTGCTGTTCAAATTCTAAGTAAAAGTGTTTCTGATGCTCTAATATTTGTCGAAAATGATTTAAAATTACCTGACTTTGTTGGTTCTGAAGCAACTTCAGATTTCATATTACTTTTTAATAATATTTTTGATATTTTTAATTCTAAAAATTTTTTTGCCAAATATAAGTTCAAGCAACCTGCATCTGAAAAGAATTGGCAGGATATATGTAAATATTTCGATCGGGTTTGTAAATATATAATAGAATTAGAATTAAATAATGAACCCGTTGTTGTTAGTGGTAGGAAGACAGGTTTCTTAGGGTTCTTAATTTGCATTGAAAGCATGAAATGTCTGTTTTGGGATTCAGTAGTAATGAATAAAAATTTAGATTTTATTCTTACTTACAAGCTTTCTCAGGACCATTTGGAACTTTTTTTTAGTGCAGTTCGTAATAGATGTGGCTTCAATAACAATCCCACATGCAGATTGTTTCAAAATTGTTATAAAAAATTATTAATTCATAATGAAGTGAAGTCAAATAAAACTGCCAATGCAATTGCTTTAGATGGCACCAGCATCTTGGATTGTAGCAGCACTAGTAGCAAAATTGCGTTAAATTTAAAATGTTACGAATCAGACACTTCTGAAGAAAATTTGGAATTTACAAATGAGCTTCGTGACCATGATTATCTTTCTATATATTTTCTGAGCGAATACATTCAGGATGTAGTTGCCTACATTTCTGGTTTTATAGTAAAATCCTTGAAGAACAAGATTCACTGCAAACAGTGTTTTGCGATTTTAGAAGGAGATTACAGTTTATCAAAACTGCAAAATCAAAAAACTTACGTAAAATTACAAAAAGCTTCTAGATTTGTAGTTACTGTTTGTAGTGAAGCTGAAAAATGTATAAAAACAGTTTCAATGAACATACACAGTAATAATATTATTAACATTGCCAATATAAAATGTAAATTAGTAAATAGTTCTATGCGATATTTGCCTTCAAATATTTTTGATGTTTTTTCTAACCATATTTTTGATTTTGAACCACTTAATGACCATTGCATTACTGTCACGAAGCTCATTTTAGATAAATATATAGACATTCGACTTCATCATGAATTTAATAAATTAAAAACTGTTAATAAAGCCAGAGTGAGAAGTTTACTTACAAAAAGCATTTTATTTCAGAATCAGTAATTTTTTATTTTAATTATTTGTTTTTATAATTTTCCTTCAGTATTTTTTCTATCCGGACAAATTAGAAATAAAGTATCTCTTGATAATCTTAAGCTAATGTGTTTAAGCCTTGTCCAAATATTATAAGATCATTGCTGATTATTCTCCTAAATGAGTTATTGTACCATTACACAAATAATGCCATAGGTGTCGTGACATGCAACCCAAATGGCATGTAATGGAAAGATCCTATTTGTATATTTATGTATCTAAAATAAAATTGTTCTATTGTTTTTAATAAGTTTTTTATATCATAAAAAAGGTAGTCCGCAATATATTTATTCTTTTTTCGAACTGTAGAAAAGGATTTCTGACAATACCCATGTAAAAATAATAATAAATGGCTTTATATTTTTACTTACTCTTCATGTATTTAAAAAAAAAGATAATATATAATAAAATACTAACAAAAATGTTCTTCCACTTTGAGCTACCTACTATTTTAATCTATAAGAAAATATATAAAATGACTTTTTGAATGCCCTGTATAATATTAAATAGGTTTTCTTTAAATTTACCTCTGAGTCCGAAGACCCATATGTTATTGCTTTGGTCATTAAATAATGTTTACTAAAAATATATGTAAACCCTCCCGAAACACTACGTCTATGTGCGACGTACGATTCCCCTTTCCCCGTCTGGTATAATGTGCGGACAGAAGGTGTATTGGGTATACAGTGTGAAGGGCGAGTCTATCTTAGATAATATGATGTCTATGTTGTAAAATCGTTGTTTTCGAATTCCTCGATTTTTCCTACATAATGGACACTGGTTTTCTTAATTGGAAACTGGACTAAGACGTAGTCTCCTATATGGAAACTACGATCAAGACATATGACGTCATTTGCATCCACTTCCTTTTCACTTTCTTCTTCAAATTCGTTCCATTCTGATGAGGAGCCCGACGAGAAACTTTCGCCATTTAAACTTTCGCTCGATGTACTTTCCTTTCGCTTAATATTTCTTTCTTTCTTAGGGAACTGCAATTCATTTGACAGTTTTGGAATTTTTTTCACCGGTAATTTACGTTTTTTTTCAGCTGCTTGCTGCTCTATTAAAAGTTTTTCTGGTGTGTCTGTCATGATCCTAGATTTCGCTTTCTTCCTTTTAGTCTTAACATTTTTCCTTGGCTGTGCCTTAGGATATGGTCTCACAGTTTCGGGAGTCAAGAAGGATTCATTGGTTGGTGTATTAGTTAGCCGTTCCTGAGCTGGCTCTAATAAGGCAGATGCGGAAGTAGAAGGCTTATTTTCTTCACTAGCAGTTACGGGAAAATGCGGATCAGTAGTACTAGTCATTGGTTGTTCTTGAACTGAAGTCGCGACAACGTCTTCCTCTTGTTCTATCAACATGGGCCTGTCCGTGACATAGGAACTAAGAAAATCGTTGTCTGTAAAAACATTAGAGTTGAAAGGCCAAATGCCACTTTTCTCGAATCCGTGTTGAATATTTTTGGGAGTAAAAGCCTGAGGTATGGCCAGTGCAGATAATTTTGCTATTTCATAAATAGTGCAAGTTTTTGATGGATTCATAGAAAGCCAATCTGTTAAAGCAACGTTGTAATATCTCTTAAGCGGTCCGAACACCGTTAAGTCCAAAGGCTGTAGCCTGTGGCTACAGTGAGGCGGGAAGGTTAGCATCACTATGCCGTTTTCTTTGCACAAGTCTAACGCTTCTATTGATATGTGGCTTTCATGATTGTCAAGTACAATGGCTACAGGTGAAGTCTTTGACGGCTTAACATATTTAATAAAATGTTTCAGGTATAAAACGAAATTTTGTGCAGTCATCCACCCAGATGTATAAGCTGCACCATCGGATCCAACCGGGGCACCACTCAGCATATATTGCTTAAAATTCACTCGAGGGAATATGTAAAATGGCGGTATAGAATTTCCAATAGCATTAATCGTGCAGCACAGGGTAACTAAGGTGCCCCTTTCGGCAGATGTCATTTGTCCTACTTGCTTGCAACCCTTCACTGCTAAAACTTTCTGCGTAGATTGCACTGTCGTTAATCCAGTTTCGTCTATATTATATATTGCTTGTGGTCCAAATTTATAGCGATCCAATATCATTCTGTAATTGTCAAAAAATTCCATTACGTTTTTCCGGTTGAAGCTGGTGGCTCGTGACAAACTAGTCGCCTCAGGAGTGCGCAAAGATAAAGTTTTGTTTCGAATCATAAAGCCCCTGATCCAGTCTTTTGATGCATATTTATGCTGCTTCCAATTTTCAGGAATAACTTTTCCATTAGCAACTGCATATTCGTATGCAAACTTTCTACAGTTTAATTTAGTCAAGCCGTAATGTAATTGGGAACATCTAATTAAATATTCACGAAGTGCTTTTTCTTCATCAGTAGTGAATATCTGTCTCGTTATATATTTGTCGTCTGTGTTTTTCAAAGGTCGCTCTAACTTTAAGTAACGTTGAAGGGAAGATCTGGGGATCTCATACTTTATCGCAGTTGGCTGAATCTTTGCTCCCATGCGGACTTCGTCGATAGCTCTTTCGATTATGTCACGTGGTATTTCAATGCGGTTTGTTTTTTTCTTGTAGCAAAACGGCATATTTTTCTGAAAATAAAAAAAAATACTGTAAGGTAGGGATGGATGGGCATGCCCAATGTTCCCGCACCGTTCGGTGTCCATGCATTCCGCCGGCGCTATTAAAATTCAATTGCAAAGTACTACACTAAACAAATACTTTTAACCACCAAATAATACAGTATTGCATGCACAAGAAAGCGATATATACGGATTAAAAAAAAGAAAGCATACTTACATTGATTTAAGGACCTTACAAGTACAATAATCACCGATAAAATTGTTTGTTTTCAAGTAAATAAACATAAAACTGGTTTTTGTCGTGTCTGGATAACTGACACCGCTGCACTGTGACGTTCGCTGGAAGAAGCAAGGCCAATACTATTCGGCTACCACGACAGGGGCGTGTCTAATGTTTTGCGTATGATTTTATTCACAAATGCCCAGGCCTCCCACCTGCCCAAGGATCCCCACTATCCCCTACCCCCAGAAGCCATTGTGAACTATGATGAAACAAACTTTATTGATGATCCTGGACGAGTTATCGTTCGAAAAACGTGTAAAAGGACTAAAAAAATCATTAATACCACGAAAGCAGCCACATCTGTGATGTTTGCATGTTCAGCAGCAGGTCAATTACTTTCAGTTTATATAGTTTATAAGGCGGATCATTTGTGGTCCACTTGGACTAAAAATGGACCAGAAAATGCTAGATATAATCGCAGCAAGTCTGGCTGGTTTGACGCTAATATTTTTGAAGAGTGGTTCACAAATATAATTCTTGCCTACTTCAGAAGTTTACCACTAGGTCTAAAGGTTCTTGTATGTATGTATCAATGAATGTAATTGACAAATGCCAAGAGAATGATATATGTTTCGTCCTACTCCCACCCAACAGCACACATATGACACAACCGATAGATGTCAGTGTATTTCGTCCTATCAAGAACGCATGAAGACAAATTTTAAGACAGTGGAAAAAGCCTATTGCGAGGGTTGTTAGAAAAAATATCGTTCCAAGGCTCTTGAAACAGGCATTAAATAAAGTTTGTATAAATAATGAAACTAACATAAAGTCTGGATTTGTAGCTACAGGTATTGAACCTATCGATACAACAAAAATTTAAAAAAAGAACTGCCCCAGACAGAAGCGGACGGACGTCAACAAGTAGACGATATGTCCAAATCCCTAACAATATTGTTTAAAAAATCTTGCTTTAAAACTCCTGGTTGATCTATAGGCAGAAAAAAAAATTGAACATAGAAGCTGGAAAGAGCATCTCACAAGAACATTTTTTCCAATAAGTGTCTAGTCTACGCTGTAATTCAGAAAATTTCAAATATATTTTTTGACTAGCCCTCGTATATGCTCGCTTGTTTGCTATTTAATTGATCTTATAATCGGTAGAAGAAGAAGCGGACGTGAGCTAACTTGTTTCGCGGAAATTACTGATTACCGGCCTTTTATTCAGTTTCCATTTAACATTTGTTCAGTGCAGACCACATTATCGTAAAGGCGTTAAAGTGCTGTACTTTTTTGATAACGGTGTTTCAAATAGTGATTTTTTCAAAGTAGTGAATGTAAGACATTTAAACTAGTGGCAATAAACTATAACGTGACGTTGAAAATGGCCAAACCCTTGGTCAAAACTCGGGCAAATCTTCTATGTCCTTTATTTTGTAGCGCCAAAATCATTCAGCCAGAAGAAAATCAGCTATAAACTTATGAAGATTTGATGTATGGAAACGAGCTTCCTTGCCAACTTTATCTTGTCAGAGAATAATAAAACTAGTTCTTGCATATAATGTATCAAATGTTATTAATGTTACTAAACCTATAAAAGGGAAAATTTCAAACTTTTTACAAGCTAAGTTGAATAATTTCCATAAAAACTCAACAAAATTATTTGAAATATAAACTTGTAAATGTCTTGATTTAGAACGTCGCTCTTGTGAAAAGGAAAGAAAAGTGCCAAAAACAGAATGGTCCTTTTTATAAGATCGAAGGTCTTATCGTAAAACGAGAATAGGAGGACAAGATTCTAACTAAACAAATACAAAAAAGAGATGAAAGAAAACTTGGCCATAAAAGGAGTGCCGAAGAGAAAGAGCCAATTCCAAGTACAAGCGGTATTCAAAATCAAACTAAAGAGAAAGAGCCAATACCAAGTACAAGCGGTATTCAAAATAAAACTATATTGTCTCAAATAGTTATGGATACCTGCAATGATTCTTTTACTGAGAGTTCGTCGGACACGGACGAGGAATACAAATGTCCAGTTTTGATGAAACAAAGAAAAATTGTTACACCCAAATTTCAGCAAATGCGATGCAGCCTAACTCACACAGCAAAAATGGCAGACTTGATCGGCACATCTAATATGGCAGTAGCTAAAATTGTTAATTGCATTTTAGAATATTTTAACATTGTTTCGAAAGAGGATCAGTCGAATGTAATTGATAAAAGCAAAATACGTCGAGAACTAAGCAAAAACCGAAAAAAGCTTCAACAGCAACAAGAAAACAAAGACATAAGAGGACTATACTTCGACGGGAGAAAGGACCAAACAATTTGTATTAAAAACAGCTAAAAGATAACCCAACAAGAAGAACACATTAAAATTATTAAAGATCCTGGTAATATTTACTTTTCCCATGTATCTATAAAGGGCTCTGCTACCGCAGCAAATATAAAGGATGAACTTCTTCAATGCTTCAACAAGTATCATACTGACATCAGTGATTTAACCGTAATAGGTTGTGATGGTACAAATGTAAATACTAGATGGAAGGGAGGTATCATTCGATTAATTGAAAATCATATTAAAAGGCCCCTTCAATGGTGCATTTGTCTGCTTCATGCCTATGAGCTACCTCTGAGGCACTTATTGCAAAGTCTAGAAGGAGATACCTGTAACATCCCAGACCATAATATGATGGTTGGTTACAACATAAATTAAACACATCTAATTTCATATGATGCTTCTTTATTCATTTTTAATTCCCAACTGACAAAACCCCAATCGTGTATTCTGCCGGCTTATCAAGGCATCTTTTTATGTATATAAAGAATTACACCGTGGCCCAAACAAACCGGCTTACAAAATAAATTAATATATATCACAATACCAAAGGACCTTACAGCTTTTCGAGACCAATTGGGTGTCTTTTAAAACAATGTCAAGACATGCCAATTAAATCAATAGAGACATATTTTCCTCAAATCGAACCAGACGACTTAAGTACAGATCAACAGTACCTATATAATATTTGCATAGGCATTCAAAATTGAACCATTACTTCTAATTTGGCAAAGAGAGATCCAGGAAAGATGTCACATGCCCGGTGGCTTACAACAGCTACGCCATTATATTGCTACTAAAAATCCATCTCGCACTCGTTATTTTAACTGAATTTATTTTAAAGGTCTATGCATCTGTTTGATTCGAAATTAAAAGAAAACCATATATTTGCGATGGAGCGAGACACCTGTAAAAAGCTATTAATGCTTCAAGAGAATTCCCAGATAACGTTAATTATATAACTAACAAAACATTTGCCAACAATGCATATTTTGCCCACCCCAAGAACCTACTTTTGGCAATACTAAGCGACCCACGTCCATATATTAGAGAAGTAGCTGCAAGAAGAATTAAAAAATGTAAGATGTAAACTAATAAAATGGTCAGAGTTTTTAGGGTACCTATTTTAAATTTAGATGCTAACGATTACATAGACTTGATAGATTGGGAGAAAACTAGGATCACCGAACCGCCATTAACATTTAATATAACAAATGAAACGTTAAATAATATTGTGACAGGAAAAGAAGCCCTAAATTTTGAAAAGTTTCCATGTCACACGCAAGCGGTCGAACGTTGTGTATAATTAGTAACTGAATCTTCTATTAAGGTTTGCGCTGAGTCATCCAGAGACTGATATATTAGATTAAAATTAGAGGGGCAAAAAATTTTACCAACATTTGATAACAAATCGCAATATTTTGAAAAGAGAAATGAAACATAAATTGCTATAAAAAAGGGCGGGAGGGTCCCCAAATGGGAGAAACTGTAGGTGCAAATACCTCCGCGTGGTGAGTTCTGGGTTGATTTAACGAAATATAATTCCATATAGATCACTAAGTCAAGCGAAAAGTTGCACAAAAGTTAAAGAAAAACATATTTCTGTTCATTTCCGCCTGCCCGCCGGCCCGTGGGGCTGGTTAAAAATGATATATTTTGGTCCAGTTTTTTTTACAGCATTAAAAAGCCCTTAAATAAACTTTAGGACCTTAAAAGAGCCCGAGGACCCGGTTAGAATTTGTTAAAAAATTTAATTTTTTTTAGCATACCTCAAGACATCATAAAACAACTTTTTAGAGTAGCGCGTTTACTAAAAAAAAAAAAAAACAAATAACTTGGCCTGCTTCAATCCACCTTACTGCAGAAGCGTCATAGTAAAGAAATTATGTTTGTCTTTTTTACTCTTAAAAATAACGAATTTTGATCTTAAAAACAAATTAAGTACATTTTTAATTAAAATTATATTTTAAGAATGTACTGAATATAAAGTGAACTACTTGTAAACTACCATAAACCTTTATCCTTCTTTTTGTGCTTTTAAATCAAATATTTTCTTTTTATATTGGCAATAAAGTTCAGTTTTTAGACTAATAATAGCGCTTTTTATGCATAGCGGTAATTGTTTATTTGATATTGACAAGACTGAACGTAACCTTAAAATGTTTTAAAGCATTTCAATTAAAAAGCGACCACACCCGTAATTGCTTCTGCAACATCGACGAGCGTCGCACCGAATCTGTTAAGTGAACTTACTTGTTGAAGACGGAATTCCCATGAGGATTGTCCTGAGTAAACTTGTCAGCCAAAGCGTGTAGACTGCCGGCGTTGATCTCGTTAATAGAATAGTATGTGCTGAAATTGTACTCCACTGCCCATTCTGCTATTCTGTTCTCATTGGCGTTCGCCGTAGACAGGTCCAAGTAGAATTGGGTGTAGTCAAAAACCTGCAACAATAAAAATATTGTCAAGAAAACGTTTTCATACGTATAATAATCAAATTTATTTCAGCAGGATGATTGATTTTAATAAATATAATTCCCGAAATCGTCATTATTTTTAGTTTCTTAAAAAGAAGCCTGCAAGAATCGCAGAAGCCGGTTCCGACAAGTACTGTTACAGCTTTTTCCCCAAATTACCGAAACATATTTTGTCATCTAGATAGTCCCATCCTGGTTCAAATTAGGTTCTAACTGGTGGCCTAAAGTTCTCTTTGATGAACATGTAATCTTAGTAAATAATCAAAAAATTGTTGTGACCTGTATGTCGCACCTAAAAGCTTCTGATGTCGATTGGCATTATAAATAATTTTTCTAAATTTTCTAGGTTTGTGCGAATGGTTAATTGTATACGTCGTTTTTTTAGAAATTAAAGAAATACTTTTAACCATGTAAGAGAGGTAGGAATTATCAGCTGTTGAATTTTGTGAAGCAGAATCAGTTGTTTTAAAGTCTGTTCAAATAGAAACTATTCAGGATGGTATTGATGATAAATCAATCAGCTTTTTACAGCCTTTTAAAGATAAACGGAGTATTGAGAGTAGCAACAAAACTTTTAAACTGTTTAGATACTTATTCAGCCATCTTTATTGCTTGGAAAACATATTCTCGTTAGAAGGCTCACGATGGAATAATGTAATAGATTTTTTTAAGACCGACCAGAAAGTATACACTTTTTGTCCAGAATGTAATTTACCGATCAAGACCGGAAAGTAGGTGTCAGGGACCGGTAAAAGCTTTACCGGTCCCTCTTTTTCATTTTTCCGATCGCTGTTTGATAATAAAGTCTGCCTTAATTTCGTTACTATGGTTCCGATTTATTGACAAGCGACGGTTCGTTGATTTTTAATTTGTGGTTAGTGTCAAACTTGTTTTCGCAAATTTAAAAATATGGATTCAGATTTTGAATTATCTGATATAGAAATTAAAATTTTAGAAGAAATTATGGATGCATCAAAAATGTACATTTGATACAAATATTCAAAAATAATGTATTTGGTTAGTTTATGCAATTGTATTCATTAACTAGTACTTGTTAATCACTTAAAAAAATAAAATAAATAATTGAGCTTACATTAAAATGTGGGCCTTAAAAAAATATTGTACGTCACGCGACCGAAAATTAGTTTTAAGTGCAAAACACTACTTTCCAGTCTTGTAACGTAAATTACTATGTCATGTCTGTGTTCAAGGTTTACTATGTCAGTTGACAGAAAAGTTTGGATTTAAGGAGGACGTAAAAGTATTAGTAATATTTTAAACGGATAAATAAAATGCAAGAGATTTTCTAACAAAAAAAGTACAATTCACTCCTTCTGCTTTTCCAGAACTGAGGATTCGGGATGCCTTCACTTTCGAAATTGTAGGTATCGATTAAGAAGGTCTTATCTATATAAAGGCGGCAAAAAGTCATAAGTTTGTTTACGTGAACTTTTTACAGAGAACATGTGGAGTTGTTGACTTCATTGTCATCAGCAGAGGCGGTTTCTTCATTGGTTCATTTATGCAGTGAACACCCAGTTAAATTGCATAAAAACACATTGTTTTAAAATTACATAAATAACATTATTTTTATTTTTATACGTGTTAATCTCTATTTTTTTGGTACACCATTGCGCTCTGGCTCATCGTGTCTCTATGGCACAGTATACCTAAGTAAACTGTGTCTGTGGCGCACTACGATGAGTGAGTCCTGAGGATTTTGCGAATGCATGTAGTTAAAAAGATAAGTCAACACGCCAACAGATCCGTGAAACTGGGGGGTGAAAAACTCTCTGTGATGTTAAACATTTGATACCTTCGATTATATCATTTAAATTGTTGGTACAAATAGAACATAATCCCCTATATATTCGACTGTTATTACAAAAATAAACCTTATCATTTTTTTCTCTTACTGAAGTCCCAATCGGATCTTTAGTAGACTCCATGGAATCTGCAATAGATCCATGATTACCTTGATCTTTTTCTGGAAAACTCCAAATTTTCGTCAAATTGAATCTTCCGAAGATAAGTAGGTTTATCTTTAATAAATATATTGCTTTTTACATTAATTTTTACTTCTGAAGCTGAAGAGGTTTTTTTATTTGACTTTCTTTTTTTGTAGTATTTAAATTAGTCTTGCATCCTTTTCTTTTTACTTGTGACTTTGTAATACTTAAGGCTTGTTTCTTTTTTTCTGCATTTGCCAGTCTTTTCTTTTTTTATCACGTTTTTCTTTTTCAGCTTGTTGTTTTTTTAATATTTTCTCTCTCTGAATGTATTTTCATTCTTCGGAGTTTTACGTTTGATTGAGCCAATATAAAAAACAGGCAGGAATATTACTGTAGATAATTGGTTTACAAGTTGCGAATTAGTTGACGTACTCCTAGAACATCACAATTTAACTCTCGTTGGAACAATCCGAAAAAACAAGAGACAGTTGCCGCCAGAATTTGTCAACACAAAGAATCGTAAAGTCAACTCAAGTATCTTTGATTTCCAAAAAAAGAAAACTCTTGTGTCTTACGTACC